TATAAGCAAGAATCAAAGAAAAATAAAACGAAAAATTATAATAAAATTAATAAATTTAAAACTGCTGTTATTTGCATCATCAATATTTACAATCAAACAAACCCGTATATTCTGCAAAGTAAATAATAAAGTAAGTTAGTTTATTGCTTGGCTAGCTTCTTGAAACATGTCATCACGATGTTAATCGATTTTTCCACCTTTATAGATGTTCCAAAATAATACGGATATATTGCTCTTTTTGTTATATATCAGTATTTTGATCTTTACTGAGAAAATCACTGACCATCATCACGCGTACAATTGGACGCAGTGAAATTACTCACATGAATCTCTCACATGCAACTTCACAGCAAAGGTCTGGCGTAGTATATCAGGAGTCATAAACATCTTCACTTGTTGAATTCTGCGTAGTATCGTACATGCGATAAAAAAATCGAAATACCTTTATTATAATGCGTTAAGCAATAAATTTCAGACGGAATAGAATGTTGCGAAAATTAATAGTAATGATAAGTGTATATTACATTGCCTTATTTTTTATCTCAATTGCTAATTCCCGATTTATGCTGTAGGTTCGAAATTACCTAATCTCAGAAAAGTTTTCTTACAGGGAATATTATTTTATATTGTCTGTATGTAAGGGTGATATAGATATGCGAAAATTTGTATGGGATAATTTATTTCAGAAATCTAGTGTAGAAAAAGAGTATTGCTGTAAAAATCTCGTAGTTAGCAATAATGATAGGAAAAAAACAATTAGTATAGAAATTTATAATAGAGCAAAGAAATGATTTAATGCTAGGACTCGCATTAAATGGTCTAGGATCTGCGTACTCCTCCTCTTTGATAGCATTTAATTGTAGTAGAATTACTGCGCTCAGTCGAAATGCTGAAGATATAACTGAAGTGTCGTTGAATAGTGGTGGAACAGCAGACTATTCGAAGAAGTGCGCCAGCTGATTATACCATCTTTTCAACGATATATTACGTCACCACATAACGGTCTAATGATAAAACTAAGTTAACCCTTGAACATCGATTAAATATCAAAACACGACAGAAATATTCACACAAACTAAATCAGGTCGTTACGTGATGGCAATGGGGCGGACCATTCAAAGAAGTGCGCTGGCTGACCAAAATCATCTTTGTCAATGAAGCACTTAGAATGCAAGCATTATTACGCAACCATTTAACGATGTCACCACCCTTGATATGCTGGTCATTTTTAAACCGAAACACTAATAGACTGTGAATGCGTAGCTGTTACCGTAAGTTTCTGAAAAATGAAAAACTGATTTATTAAGTGACTATCAAGTGTCACTTAATCACATGATCACATGCTGATACTGCGCCTCTCAAGATACTATATATAGTTGTAAATTTCACTAAAGTTTTCACTAAAAAAAATTTTCTTTACGCGATGTACCACATAATGCTGACTTAGGTACGTGATAACCTCAAAGACCTAAAACTGGAAATCTTTTACAAAAAATTTGCCTATTCACACACCTCACGGAAATAAGCTGAAGAAAAATTACGAAAGTCACTTACAACAATCAAGGATGAGAGAAATACCATCTATCAGAAGAAAGCTAAGTCTTTGCTAGATAATTTTGAGGTAAATAGGAATTTCACTACTAGATGTCGGCGTTGATACTTTCTTAATTAATTAGTTGTTTGTTCTATAGCCGTGGACGCAGTCAATTAACTGTGAGAGGTATTGGTTGGATGTGGAGACCTCACTCGGTAGGGTATGTTTAGATTTTGTGAGGTATTGGTTGGATGTGGAGACCTCACTCGGTAGGGTATGTTTAGATTTTGTGTTATTATATAATAATAGATCTCTGGCTAATTACTTGATTTTTTCTTCACAGTTGGCGCATGAAGTGACAGGACGAATTTTAGCGTACAATACAATTAAAAACTTCACCAGAAAAATCAACGATGAAGAAGCTCTAAATGAATTTTAACCGCTATCGAAAAGAGTCAAGAATGATGATCTCAAATAGCAACGAACTCCAAACTGACAAACATATCCTTCAGAAACTAGTGGAGAGGTATGACATCATGTTTTCAATGTATATTCTGCAACAAACCATCATAGCGTAGTAAATTAACTTTTTCTTCTCAAAATCTAGATTTTAGTAAATCAAGATCACGATGATGAATCAGGAAGCAATTCACCACTTCACGATGAGTTTGTGAAAGAAATATATGAAACTGAAGAAGATTATTCTGATCTGGAATCCGTTAATGACAATAATAACGATGACCCTGATTATGTTTATAGCCCGTCTTCGTCCTGTGACGAAACAAAGGTCACAAAGTCAGCTCGTAAGTTGAATAGTGACGAAAAAACACCATCTGTATCGCCAGCTAAACGGGTGAGATTATAAGACCTTTAAATTACTTCTTGATAGCAAGTCATTTACTAACATACATGTATTCTGTGACCTTTCAGACGAAATTAAATGAAGATACAATTCTAGATGTTGTATCTGATTTAAATGAGGTTAGACAATAAACAGTTATTGGACAAGTTTTTGCCTTTTTTTCAAACATTTTTTCAAAAGTTAATTTAACTATTTCTTAGAGTGCGAGTTTTAATTACGGGCTCAGAAATTATGAAGAGGGAATAATTATTGATCCTGAGTTAGCCCTTCAAGAAACGGATGAGGAATCAGTACCAGTATATGAACACCTCTTTGACAAGAATACTTGGAAAAAATGGAAACTAAAATCTGATGCAATTGTGGCTGATCTTTTGGATCAATTTGTCTATAAAAAAGGACATCCTCTTAGGTAGATTGTGGATTATTAAGATTATTAACTAGTATTTGTGATTGTGCCAATTCTAATTATTTAATTTTAGACCTGAAGCTAGTGATATACATTTTTGATGTCCCAGAGATTTGTTGTCCCAGATATATGTTCCAACCTGTCTCACACTATGTCCCAAATGTCCTATCTGTCCCATCTATGTCCCATCAGTATCCCATCAATGTCCTATGACAACACTGCCTGAAGCTTAGAGAATCGTTCGGTGTGATTATAAAATTGTGAAACTGAAATGGTGTAGCAGTGAAGATTATTCGGAAATTTAAAGATATACAAGACGTGCAACTATTTCTAATCATACGGAAACAATATCTAGCCTTCAAAGACAAGTATGTCTTTCTTTTTATGCTAGTTCTTTACTTTATTCTTGAAGAATTCTAAAACTTACACTTTTGCAATAGAGGTCACTTGAATCCTTAGGACAAAGCATAGAGGAAATTCGGCTTTTGAATAATATTCATGAAATAGTTAAAGATGAAGATGTTAGAAAACTTCTCTTGGAGGTAGTGTTGTCATGGGACATTGATGGGACACTGATGGGACATAGATGGGACAGATAGGACATTTGGGACATAATGTGGGACAGGTTGGGACATATAGCTGGGACAACAAATCTCAGGGATATCAAAAATGTACATCACTGCTTGGAGGAGCTCAAAATAATTTGCGTGATGTTTCCTCTGCAAGATGCTTTCACAAGTTTTTATCTATATTGTAAGTATCTTTTGTTATAACTTGCCAGTTTTCATCTGCTAAACTTTTTCCTTTTCTCATAGTCATTAAAATGTGTTCCCGGAGTTTTCTGTGATACAACAATCAGATGTATCGGAATCAGACTACGGAGGTTACGTTATACATCCTTCACTGCAAGTTGTAATTTTCAGTTTAGAGAAGAGCATACACTATCATATGTGAGTAGTAGCTTCGATCTTCATTAATTTTTAGAGATTCTATTGATTGTTACTTATGCATTTGTACTTTTTACTTAAGAGGAGAGATAATACTCTCTTCAATTAAGTCATGTCATGAAAGACGCAAGCGCATCACATCATTTGAGCAGAAGGCGAATGGGGCCTTTCTTGTATAGCTAAAGAGATCTACTATTGAGGTTGGACATTTAGAAATGAGCGGTGGGTACAGACATAAAGATCTTCCTAGATCAACGTGAAACAGATGTTGTAAGTTGCCGATCAGAAATTCTTATATGTTGGAAGAGATTGGAAAGCGATTTCGAGGAGCTTTGACTGAAATATTCTCGAAAATAAGCGTCTTTTCTATACACACCTATGGTAGGTGTTTAAAGTGTTTCTTTTAAAGTGCATTGCTTCTATAATTTATTATTCTAACCTTTGCATTTCATAGAGAAACAGATTGAATTGTGGAGAATGCATGTTCCGTCCTGCGGAGTCCTACAATACGAACGAACACATAAGACAGTCATTCCTATCTGCTTTAAGGAAGAGCGAAAATGCATCTTTGATTTTGTTATTATCTTGTGAGATCTCAGGTAATGTATCCTTCTTTCGACTGTTTTGTTCTACTATGCTTTGTCATTAACTTATCTTCTCAATTCATAGTGTTGGTTGTTGGAAGTTGCCAAAGTCATTTATAAATTATAAGAAGAACACAACAATTCAGATACGAATGTATCCAATCTTTCTAGTACTCTCCCATCACATCCATTTACTCCGCAAAAAGAAAAACAAAAAAGGTATCACAGCTACTTATGCAGATAGTGATCCAGGTAGCTCTTTCATTCGATCTAATATATAAGGTTTTAATTTGTTTTATCTGTTATATGTGATGGTATATTATTATAGTTAGTGATCAGCATAAATTATAATAGCAGAAAAGCGGTAAGCATATTTTTTGATGTAACTTTGATCTTCGCATGTAATTGCTCATTCATTTTCTTATTTATGTTTTTTTGTACAATATAAAGTCAATTTTCTGCATGATTCGTTCAAAAGTTAGTTATAAACATTTGAATTACACAGTGTTAAGTACATACCTATTTTTCGTAAAAATAATGAAAATGCATTTTAATAAAGTTTCACCTACATTGGGCTTTATCTTTTTAACGCGTATGCGGTGTGTGGTGGATGTAAAATTTGCATTGGAAAAAATAAAAATGTTTATAGTTTTACTTGATATGTACTAGTGAAGTGATCAGCGTTCTAAAACGGAACGCGCACGTGATTTTTTCATCAGATGTACCTTCTCAGCCTATTTATTCTAGAGTAATTAAAAATAACAAGTTATTATATATTGTTTACTGCTGAACAAAGTGAGTGGGCAGGTCACAGGTAACTAACCAAGGATGAAACCAATTATGTAATTGCCAAAATTTTAAAACAGAAGAGTTGATAATGCACTGCGCCACATGATCAATCCAATCTTCTGCGACGCCATGATAGTACTGAGTGATACAATGATAATCATAATTTAGCCGTTATATTGACTCAGATCTAATTTAACCGAATCTTGACATCAGACCATATATGCACTGGTCTGCTTGTAATCGAATGAAAATGAATCTGTTATTTCTAATAGTATAAGTTGTAAAGAATTGCTATAAGTCTATAAATTCACTATAAATCAACAAAATCAGTGAAATTATTATAAATCGCTATCATCCACTTACACTCGTAAATGGATAAAACTAGCTTCTATTATTGTTTAAATCCTGTAGTCGTGCAGGCGTTAAACAATCTGCAATATAGGTATAGTAGTGAAACACTAGTAATATGGTGTTCTCGTATTCGTTATCCATTTAAAAAACTTCTCGAATATAACCAAAATACTTCTCCAAGAATGGATTTATTCAAATGATTAAAAAATCATATAAAGATGGGGAATTTAAAGCTGGGAGATGCTCATTTCATATTTATTGCACTGTATGCGACTTCTTAGTAATTATTCACAAAAATACCATTGAATGTGCTAATAAGCATCTGAATGAATATATTACTAAAACTGCTAAAATGCATTTTAATTCTGTACAAAAGAATATGAAAAAAGGAGAAAGTGTATCATCGCTCAGTTCTGATAAAGTTGATAAGATTTATCAAACATATTAGGTTATGTACAGTAAAGGTTTAGCTCATTATAGTTATGATTGTTCACATGAAAGTAGAAAAAGAATTGTAAATTGTTTAATTGATAATGCAAAAGTTATCCAACGGACTTGGTGAGCTTTCAAGTTAAGACCTGAAACATGGACAAAACGAGTCTGAAATATGGTTAGGAATGATGATACTTTTGATGATAAGAAGTATTTAGGTATTATTCTTCAGAAAATAAAAAATCATATCACTTGTTAACAATATAATTTATGTAGTGCTGAAAGCATTGCTATGATTAACAAAGGATATAATAATCCATCGTCAAGGGCAGTGATGTACATTTTTGATATCCCAAAGATTTGTTGTCCCAGCTATATATCCCAACTATATGTCTCAACCTGTTTCACACTATGTCTCAAATGTCCTATCTGTCCTATCTATATTCTATTAGCATCCTATCAGTGTCCTATCAATGTCCTATAACAACACTGGCCAAGGGAGTATTTTTTCTAACAACTGGATAGAAAGAAAGAAAGAACAATTATGTGAACGATTAAATATTGTAGCATATATTGTTACTTTTATAGTATTATATCAGTAAGGCTATAGAATTGTTCAATATCTATATTAGTCTTATACATTAAAATGGCTATCAAATCTTGAATATTACCGTATTGACAAATACCTCAATAATGGTAATGTAAATTTTGTTAGAAGTTCAGAATATAGGCGATATGTGTGTAAAATGGTAGGCAAATCATATCCATGTAATTCATTAGAAATTAACTATTTTGAAATTAATTATTTTTATATTCTAGAAGAAGAAATTAACATAGATTTCTCAGATTTGAACAATAATTATGAGTATGTGTAATGAATTTTTGAAGTATAAATTCTTTATTCTTGTAAATTATTATAATCATAATACAATAAATCAATTTATTTTTTTACCTTCTCTGCCATAATGTATATAGGCATATGTAACATAAATTAGTACATTTTTGATCTTCGTTAAAGTGTATATGATGTAATAAGTGATACACTGCAAATCATCTGTGCAAGTGCGACTATCGCTTATGCGACAAAATAATTTCACACATAAAGTGATCCCTAAAATATTTCAAATTTTTCCTTACAACATTTAGCGAAATAAGATTTAGCAGAATAACATTTACTGATATAAATATTTGCTTCAAAGGAACAGGCTCTCTGATATCACTGGATTTCGAACAAAATATATTTATATAATATTGCTTAGATCTTAATATTAACTATTGAGTAGTCAGGTAAGCGAAAAAAGTCTGTATATGCATTATCCCAACGCCTTTTGTAAATGTTGAGATCTTCAATGTACATTCTGCATATTTTTACTAACGAATATAGAATTTTAGCGTAAAGTGCCTTGCATATTTTCTCCTATCTCTTCCTCAATATGGATGTGAGTGTAAATGTGAGAAAATAGTGGCATTTAAAAGGGTAATATAGGTAATTTTTAGCTTTTTGCCATTTCTTTTGCTGTTAGCGTTATCTCAGTATATTAATATTATTTTATATTCTAAACTAACTATGTAAATATATTTACCGTAATGTATAATAAGATTTATGAATTCTTGATGATTGCTGAGAAACGTTAAATAAACGCTATATCTGTTATTTATCTTGGAATGAAAGAAAACCGCTGGGTTTTTCAAATAGAGTTAAAATCAATTGTAGAATGAGCTATGGGATCTATTAGCAATGCATTTATGGAAGGTTCTTCTCATCAATTAAAAATTTTCCAAATCCTACCACAGGTTAGTTAAGATTTATGCAAATATTTTAGCTTTTTATTATTATATGATGATACTGTGTGATTGTTTACTAAAATAAACCTGAATAAACAAGTTATTTTTTAGTTTATTGCTTATGTTTAACCTACCTATTCAGTTTGCTTACCAGTAAATACTTATACGTAATATAGGGTGTATATATTATAATCTGTTATGCAGTTTTGTAGTTCATCCTATTAATCTATTATGTGAAAAGGTTATTGCCATGTTGAGGGGTGTATTAAGATATGAGTTATTATGTTACTTTATTAGTATTACACAAAGTTTTGTCTGTATGATGGCTACACAAAGATGATAACTTTACATATGCACTGATGATTGTGTTATTTTTATGATGAGAACTACTTTTTATTTCTGAAATCTAACGCAATACTTTTTTTAATTTGACATTGGCTTTAAAGATGTTTGTATCTTATACGACATGAGGGTAATTAAAACGGATAAGAAAATTCCTTTTGGTTCAGATCAGATTAATAATAATATAAATGATCTAAAAGAAAAGCTTAGAAAAGACACTTCGCCTCTTTATCAATAATTATATTCTAAAGTAAATGCTATATCTATTCAAAGCTTAACCTGAAAGGATCCTTTGGTCAGCTGAGTTATTAGCAATCAATCAGAAGTTGTCAAGCAGTTATCATCAAATCTAAAAAAGGCATTTAAGGTAGGTAGCTTGTTGAAGGTTCTTTAAGAATAAATATAACATATTTTTTATATTAGAAACCTGCTTGGCAGATAGCGTCTGCTCTTATAACGATAGTTAAAGAGATATGTAAAAATTTCATAATAAGTTTTATTGATCATAATATTTAGAATATAATACCAGATAAACTAATTCATGATGGGTCTTGGAAAGAATCAGAAGAAAAAATCGCAGATGTTATAAAAGAAGTTTTAATTCTTCTGGAAGATATTTGGATTAACTTAGCTTTTAATTCTGAACTTGCGAAATCGCTAAATGAAGGAATCTATCAATCAACAGTTATTCTATTATCTATTTGAATAATATTAAAAAATCTTCCTTTTAGACTATCCTCATTTATCAGTACTTCAAAATGACAGAGTATTGCTAGTGTAGATAGGAAAGGTGAAGGGTAGGTGAGAAGACAACCAGATATTATGTATGTAATAAAATATTTAGATGTTTTCTTTGAGCTTATATATGTCGAATGTTTGCGATTATACTGTAGTCAACAGAAAAAGATAGATAATGAGATAAAGTTATGGAGAGAAAGTAATGATAGAATGTTCTAGATTCGCAAAAGTCCTTAAAC